TGTGTGTGTGTGTGTGTGTGTGTGTGTGTGTGTGTGTGTGTGTGTGTACTCGCGGAGGCTTTGGTCCAGAAGGAAGGGACCGAAAGCTCCACTGAGGTAGTCTGCCTAGATCGGCCTTATCCTTTCCCCTCCATAGGCTATGCAGTCTGTCTGTCACTGGCCCTTGCCTTCAGTCCATAAAGTTACCTCGATTGTGTGCACACCGGAGGAGTCTGTGCTCCAGGCTGCGCCCTTCTCCTTTTGTGTTCTCCCTCCCTTTTCCATCACCACATCTTTTCTTCTAATCAAATTCGCTTCTCCTAATTTCCAGTCAGTTTCTGGGTCCTTCGCATTGGGCTGAGGTAGGAGTGGACTGAGATCGGAATATTGGGAATGGTAGTCTTTTTCCCAGGGGAGATTCTCCAGGTTTGGGCTTCAGAAATTGTGAGAGACCTACTACTCACTTCCCACTTGACTCTGGATTATGGAAATGGCAAGGTGGTCTGAGGACACACGAGGCTAGTAGAGTGGACTAAGGTCCAGGAGACAGCTGAGTGCTGGCCCAGGAGGCAGAGCTCTGGGGGTCAAAGGGAATGGAGGCCTTAGCCCAAAAGAGGAGAGTAGGAGAGGGCAGACACCATCTCCCCCTCCTCCTTCCCTCAGCTTTGCTCTGGGGATGTCGGGTTAGGTCCTATCACTCCTGGGTTGTTCTCCTCTGCCCCAGCATTTGCTTGTCCCCATTTGTGTCAATGGATGAGTTCCTTTCAGGTAAGCCAGCGTTATTCCTGAATTGGAAGGTTATAAGCTGTGCTGGGACCTCCTGGGAGTTCACAGAGCCAGGTTTGGGGGTGGGTGCAAAGACTGAATTGGAATTAAATCTGAATCCAAGAGCGTAGCTGCAAGAACACAAGGGATGGTGTAGGAGACAGGAAAAGGGAAGGAAGACCAGTACTGAAGAGTGGACTGGGGTAACATGAGGGGGCTTCAGGACAGGGCCATGGTGGACACAGCAACAGGTTAGGGAGCTTGGGAACCTAGGAAGGTAAAAGGCCTGTGCAGAGAGAAGTTATAGCTCAACCTGAGAATGACGATTATGTGATCAAGTTGGCTGCAAGCTGAGCCCTTTCACTCTCATCCTGCTTTATATCCAATAGGCTCAGGAGACCCCTTATGCAGCTATATTTGGAAGATATTGCCCCATGGCCCCCTCCCTCTTCACTTAGCTGGATCTCCCTCCATTTTGGCAAGGCAGAACTCCAGACAGCTGAATTCAATGGCCTCACACCAGCTGTTTGGTGAGCTTCACAGGCAGCCTTTGGGACAAGAAAGCAGGTTCCTGAAAAGGGGCCTCTAGAAGGAAAGTAGAGGAGTGTCTGAGGTTCTGTTACTCCAGAGAGATGCTATGAGATAAAAGGGGATGAGTCAGGGATGGGAGGGTGTCTCTGAGGCTAGATTCATAGGTTCACAGAATGTTAAAGCTGGAGGATATCTTAAGGATTACTCCATTCAATTCTTTAATTTTATAGAAGAGGAAACTGAGGCTGAAAGAAAGGAAGTGGCATCTAACTAACATGCAAGAAATTAGTAGGGCATGAAACAGTCCTGAGCTTTTTGGCCTTGGTAGAAAATCCTCCTCTTCCCTACCTTACAGGGACCTTGGGAGATCATTAAGTCCCCTGCCTCTTTTCCATTTTCCTAAGAATTAGAGACCTCCTCTCTTTTCTGCTATAAACTACAGATGAGGCCAATATCCTAAATTGATGAAAAGGGATGCAAAGGATGAGGTTAGAAGCCAGAGACAGTGTGACAGTCCTTCAGGACCACGGAGAGCTTCCAGATTCTTTCCAGGCAAAGCTACTGAAGACCTAGCCATATTTCACCAACAAATGAATAGATGTATTTAAGTAGGCGGGGGGCGGGGGAAGAGAGGGAGAGACAGGCTATTCCCTGAGTCTCTTTTCCTCTTTTTTTTTTTTTTTTGGTTCTTCTTCTCACATCTTTCTGATGTCATATCCCACTATCTCCTCCTTCACTCCATGATAGTACTGTGGTTCTTCTCCTTGTTGAGGCAACTCCTAATACAATCCTATCTCCTATCATCTGTTCCAGCAAATTTTCTCCACTATTGTCTCCACTTTCTCTTTAATGTTAAATCTGTCCTTATCTATTGGTTCCTTCTCTGTTTTTTTTTGTTTTGTTTTGTTTTGTTGTTACAGATATGTCATCTTCCTCATCCTTAAAATCCTCATTATATCTTATTATTCCTATCAGCTATTAGGCAATATCTTTCTTACTCTTCTCAGTTAAACTTTTTGAAAATGCTGTCTACAAACTTGAATTATTAAAGTAGCCTCCTAATTGGTCTCTTTGACTCACATTTCTAATCCATCTTCCACTCAAGCTGCCAATGCTTATGTTTGACCATGTTACTCCACCGTTCAATAAACTCCAGTGACTACTTATTACCTCTAAGGTAAATTATGAAGTATTTTGACATTTAAAGTTCTCTATAACCTAGCCTCTTCCTAGCTTTCCAATATTTTTACATTTCACTTCACTCCATGAACTGAATAGTCCAGTCATTCTGGCCTACTTGCCATTCTTCAAACATGACACTTCATGTCCAGTCACTATTTTCCATGACTGGAATACTCTCCCTCCCAACCTCCAACTCTTAGAATCTCTGACTTCCTTTGAGACTCAGATCAAGCATCACCTTCTAGAGGGGGCAAAATGTAAGGAAATAATAAACTCTTTTGAGTGTGTGTTGCAATTGGGGGATAAAGGAGATGAGAGGTAAGGAAATAGTAAACCCTTGTGTAATCCTATAAAAGTTCTAGCTTTAAAAAAAGTCCAGCCTTTAAAAAACTATGGCTATATAGACAAAGACAACAGGGTCCAACTCTAGCAAGAGTAAATAGGTCATTCATTGCTCCCCACCCTTCCATATGTTTGTGTATATAGTTCTAGATAGCTATAATTAGTTGCATACTTATTTGCACAGCTTCATGCACACCTGCTTACATGTCTCTAAAGATGTATATGTGAGGGGCAGCTAGGTGGCACAGTAGATAGAGCGCTGGCCTTGGAGTCAGGAGGACCTGAGTTCAAATCCAGTCTCAGACCAAACATTTGACACTTACTAGCTGTGTGGCCCTGGGCAAGTCACTTAACCCCAATTGCCTCACCAAAAATAAATAAATAAATAAATAAATAAGATGTGTGTGTGTGTGTGTGTGTGTGTGTGTGTGTGTTCTACCTCCCCTGAAAATATAAGTTTCCCAAGGGCAAGAATCATTTCTCCTTCCATCTTTCCCCAACCTCTTCCCCCTACCATCCTTCCTGCCAGTGTACATAGGAAGATGTCCTTAATATGGTTCAATTAATGTCACTAATTAATTTGTACAACTGGTATTTTGGTTTTAGTGTATGAGGTGAATATACATTTCTATTAGGCAGAAGTCTGCGTTGAAGGTCAGCAATGTCCACTTGAATAAGAATCAGATTTGGGTTTCTTCCTCCCAAATCACTGGTCGTTGTCTGAGGAGACACTTTCAATTGATTACAATAGTATCATGTATTCCCACAGACTTTTACAGTTTAAAATACTTTCTTGCAATAATTCTTTGAGGTAGGTATGCAAGCACTATTATTCCCATTTTATTGATAAGGAAATTAAGGCTTATAGGGGTAAAGTGACTTTCTCAAGGTTGCATAACTAGTAAGTGTCAGAGACAAGATTTGGAAGTGAAATACAGACCTGCTAACAACACATTCAATTTTCTTTTCCATATATCAGTTTTCCTATCAAAATGATATTTAACTCATATAATGAGGCAGAGACTCTGTTGACTTCTGGACTCTGAGGCCACTAGTGATATCATACAGGAAGATATTTCATTTTAGACATGAAATTTCAAGTGATCTAAATTGGGAAACTGATGTTACCACTGGAACTTTACTGAGGTTGGTATGGGAGCTTACTAAAAATTCTTAAATGTGCCAGTTTGCCTGTCTGGTTGGAAGAGTTAAAGACTCCCCCTCCCTCCCTCTTGAAAACAAGGTATCACTGAAACTGCAATGACCACAACGGAGCTTCTTTTAATTTTCCCAACTCACATGTTTTCTGGTTGTCCAGTCATTTTTCAGTCGTGTCCAACTCTTTGTGACCAAAATGAACAAGGAGAGCAAACGGTGTTTTCTGTGTGTGGGTTCAGTGTGCAGTGAAGCTAGGGCTGCTCCTACACATCATTCATGGTACAGATCCCTAGGCCAGGTGGTAAGGTGGGGTGATCTACCCTGGAGGGAAAGTGGGCCCTGGGAGAGGGAGTTGGAAGCCTAGAGTCTGGAAAGAAGAGGAGTGTGTTGGCACTGGCATAAAGCTTTGACTGAGGCATGATAGTCTTGACTTTTCTTAGAGATCAACAATACAACAATGTATGAAAAGCACTTTGTAAACCTTAAAGCAATATCACTGTATGGTATTAGAGTATTAAAAGCTAGTACTAGAACCCAGGTCTCATCTTCTGGTGGTCTTTTTGAAATGTCACTGCTGCCTGTAAATATATCCTGTAAATATGTGGAGCACAGGTCCCAACTCTGTTCAGATCTGCTATGAATCCCAGGGCAGAACTTCATGGCTGACCAGCCCCTTTACTTTGCCCTGCCCCCTCAACCCTATTCCCTTGCAGGCTGTTTGTTCTGGGAATCGGTTTCTTCACACTCTGCTTCCTGATGACATCCCTGGGAGGCCAGTTTTCTGCCAGACGCTTGGGAGATTCACCTTTTACTGTCCACACTGAAGGTACCTTGGGCAAGAAGCCATTGGTAGGGGGAGGAGGGATAGGATATGGGTATATGTGCTTGTTGGGGGATGGATGGAAGTATTCCTGAAAGTACAGGACTGGTAGTGCCCTTGTTTCCCTCAGAGAGGGGCTAAACATAGACCTGCATGGAGTATATGAGGTATCCTGGCCCATGGGTGGGAACTTCTGGGGATAGGGGTTGGTGGGTTGAAGCTGCAAGAGCAATGTGTGTGGGTGCAACTTGCATGCCACTTCTGTTTGAGTGATGAAATCCTCTAAACATTTTCTGCCCTGTATTCCCATGCTAAGGGACTTTACAGGTATGCAAAGATTAAAGATTTGTTCTTTGCCAGTAGGCATTTAATAAATATTTGCTCAATTTATATTGAATTGAAAAGTATTTGCTACAATGTTGTTTAAACACACCTTATCTCTGTAACTTTTTAAACCCCTGTGATTTTTGCTCATCTCAGGATGGGGCTTTGGCTTTCCTTGAGGGCAGAGAGCAGGTCTGTCCAGGGATTAGTTTTTCTGACTCTGAACTCCCTGACAAATTTGCCCTCTTTTCTCTGTAGTCTAGCTTCTAAGGTGATCTGGATGATATTCTCTAATAGTTTAGGGAATGTTCATCTTGACAAGATACCATCTCATAAGACTCAAAGCACTATGGAATGTCAGAGCTAAATGGCTCCTCAGAAATCATACGGTCCAACTTCCTCATTTGACAAAGGAAGAAACTGAGACTCGACCAGGAGAAGTCAGTCAACAAGCATTTATTGAGTGCTTATATGTGCCAGGCGCTGTGCTAAGTGTGGAAATTACTTTTCCAAGGTCACAAAGCTGGTTAATGTCAGAGTTGGGTCAAGTGTCCTGGTTCATAGTTCTTTGCTGTTTCTACTAAACCGTGATGCTAAATAGGGGGAGAAGAAATGATGGATTATATATCCATGGCTCTCTGGCTCATTCTAGATTTTTTTAGAGAGTTCTGTTTCTTGGATTAGGCTTGCCACCTTCTATTTTAAGCTATTAATTCTCTTTCCATTCTCTCCATAGTCCAAATTTCATTTATAATTTAATTTTTTTACCTTTTACTTCATTTATTGCAAATATTCTTGCAGTTCTTGTGTGGCCAAGCCATTTTTTTAAAAAATGTGAGACTTATAGTTGCTGTGGAGTTATTCTCTCTTAGGTTTTCTTTTTAAGTAATTCTTTATATTTACAAATATAAATTACAAATTCTTTACATTCTTCATAGTGTTTGCTGTTTTTCTTTTTACCCATACCTCCTGACTTAGTTCTTGATTTGGGACTTTGGGCCATGGTAAGGCTCTGCCTGCTCCCAAATTCTCTGATGGGGTGGTCAGGTCCTGTTTGTCCCTGACCTCACCTTCTTTGGTTCTTGCCACTGCCTTTTTTATACTTTCCTTGGGGTGTTTTTACACTTTCCTTAGTGTGTTTACACTTTCCTTAGTGTGTTTACACTCAGAATGCTTGCAGGCTCCAATGTACCCTGTTAGAGATTTTTGGTTGGCTGACCCTAATGAGGATACTGGGTGGTCTTCTGTTCTCTCTGGGGATTCCTTGCTCAGGGCATGGGGTAGTTTCTTTCTCTTGGGGCTTCCTCAGAGAACTAGGTCATCTTCTTTTATCCTCTGGAGTTTAAACAATCAGGCTCCTGATGGTCCTCTGTTTCAGTTTGGAACTGCCTATTCAGAGCTCTGCTAATTCTTTCCCCCCTAATGTTTCCCCCTTGGGCTTCATTGATCAGAATTTTCAGTGATTTCTGTTCTCTATGGTCTTTCTTTTCTGTTTGATTTTTTTTTTCATTTTTTTATTCTGAACTGAGTGCACACTAAACAAAATGAGCATTTCTATAAATTTTGTTTTTACGTGAAACTATGAATCTTTATTATCAATCAATACACATTTATTAAGTTCCTACTATTTGCCAGGTAACATGCTAATCAACAGGGATACAAAAAAAGGCAAAAAAAAAAAGTCCCCCACCTCTAGAAACTCATTTTTTGTTGGGGGAAACAATAGACAAACTATTAAGTACGTGCTAGTTATATACATATATATATATATACATATATACATACATACATATATATATATATATATATATATATATATGGTAAATCTCATTAACATTAAGGGGGCTTCTTACAGTGGGTGGATTTTAGTTGAGACTTCCTCCCTCCAGGGAAGCTAGGATATGGAGGTAAGGAGGAAGAAAATCCTAGGTTTGGGGGACAGTCAGTGAAAAATGCATGAAGTCAGGAGATGTAGTGTCTTGTGTGAGGACCAGCAAGGAAGCAAGTGCCACGGGATCATATAGCATGTGCAACAGAATAAGGTGTAAGAAGACTGAAAAGGTAGGAGGGGGCTAAGTTATGAAGGGATTTAAAAGCCAAACAGAGAATTTTATATTTGTTTCTGAAAGTAGTAGAGAGCCACTGGAGTTTATTAAATGGGGTGGCAGATAACATGGTCAGATTCGAACTTTAGGAAGATTACTTTGGTAGTTGAGTGGAAGGTGGACAGGAGTGGGAAGAGAGTGGAGGAAGGAAGACCAACTAGAAGGTTATTGCAATAATTCAGATGTGAAGTGATAAGGTCCTGCATCAGGTAGCAATATCAGAATTAAGAAAGAGGTATAGATGCTGTAAAAGTAACATCAATAGGATTTGGCAACCAACTGGATATAGGTAATAGAGTGAGAAATTGAGAATGACACCTAGATTGTGAGCCTAGCTGACTGGTAGGGTAGTGGGTCCCTTTACAGTAATAAGGAAATTAGGAAGAGGGGAGAGTTTTGGGGAAAAGACAATGAGTTCTATTTTGAACATGCTGTGATGTGCATGTTTATAAGACATCCAGTTGGAAATGTGTAATAAGCAGTTAAGGATGTGTGGCTGGAGGTCAGGAGAGAGGTCAGGGCTGGAAAAATAAATCTGAGACTCATTAGCATAGCTATGATAATTGAATCCATGGGGGCTGATTAAAATATCAAATGAGTTAGAATAGAGGAAGAAAAAAGAAGAGAACTCAAGAGAGAGACTTGGGGATCCCTAAGATTAATGGGCAAGACTTGGAAGAAGATCAGCAAAGGAGACTGAGAAGAAGTTTTTAGATAGGAGGAGAACCAAGAGACAGGAAAGAGAAGAGAGTATCAAGAAGAGAATAATCAACAGTTTCAGAGGCCGCAAAGAAGTCAAGAAGGATGAGGATTGAGAAAAGACCATTAAATCTGGCAATTAAGAAATCAGTGGTAGGTAATTTTGGAGAGAGCAGTTTCCATTGAATGATGAGGTCAGAAGCAACACTGCAGAGATAAGAAGAGAATGAGAAATTAAGGAAAACCAATTGTAAGTGGTTTTCTCAAGGAGTTTAGCCATAAAACAGAGGAGAAACATAGGATGATAGCTTGCTGTGATGGATAGATCAAGGGAGGGTGTTTTTTGAGGATGGGTGAGGCATAGACATGTTTGTAGACATCAGGGAAGTGACTAGTAGACAGGGAGAGATTAAAGATAAGTGAGTTTGTGTAGAGCTTGCTTTTCTTTTCAAGAATATAATAATATAATATATTCATTATACTATTTGTGTTGTTTAGCTGTTTAGTCGTGTCTGACTCTTCATGACCTTATGGATCATATTTTCCATGGGGTTTTCTTGGCAAAGATACCAGAATGGTTTGCCATTTTCTTCTCTAGTGGATTAAAGCAATCCTTGCCTTAATTAAGGCCGAGGTTAACTGATTTACCCAGGTTCAGATTTGAACTCCAGAAGATGAGTCTTCCTGACTTCAGGCCAGCACTGTATCCACTGTACCACCTAGCTACTCATTATACTATATCATTATATGAAAACATCTTACTCATATATTATATATATGTATATGTACATATGCATATATATATATATATTTCAACATGTAATTTTCAAAGCTATCCAACTTTCTGCATTTCCTTCTGGCTTCCTTCTGTTCTCTTTTCCTTTTGTGTGTGGGCAAGGACCCTATCCCTATCTCTCTCTTATTCTTCCACTCCCGACCAATTTTTTTAAGAGGAAAAAATCCTTGCAACAAAAATGCTTAGTCAAGAAAAAAATCCTTCATTCAGCATGTCCAAAAATGTCTGTCTCATTCTTCATCTTCAGTTCATCACCTCTCTGTCAGGAGGTGAGTAGCATCCTTTATCATCAGTCCTCTCAAATCATGGTAAGTCGTTGTTCTGAGTGGTACTGCTAGGTAAAAACCACAGTTAAGTAATTTCTGGGGCACAATTCCAAATTGCTTTCTGGCATGTCTGTACTGATAACAGAGTTTTACCAACAGTGCCTCAATGTGCTTATTTTCCTGCAGCCCCTCCAAATTTTTTTTCATATGTGCCAGTGCTTGATGTGAGGTAAAACCTCAAAGTTGCTTTAATTTGAATTTCTTTAAATTCTAGTGATTTGGAGAATTTTTTTCATATGCTTTTTGATAGATTATAATTCTTCCTTTAGGAGCTATCTATTCATATCCTTTGACAATTTATCTACTGAGGAACAGTTCTTGTCCTTATAAATTTGACTCAGTTCCTTCTTTATCTGTCTTAGAAATGTGACTCTTATTAGAGAAACTTTCTACAAAAAATTTTTTTCTTCATTAACCATTTTCCTTCTATTTCTAACTGCATTGGTTTTGCTTGTGCAAAACCTTTTTAATTTTATGTAATCAAAACTGTCCATTTTATCTCCTCTCTATCTCTTGTTTGGTCATGAACACTTTCCCTGTTTGTATTTCCGAAGGGTAATTTCTACTTTGCTCCTCTAATTTATGATATGATCTTTTGTATATAAGTCATGTATCCCATTTGTAATTTATCATGCTGTGTGGTGTGACTGTTTATTTTCAGTCAGACTGCTTTCCAGTTTTCTCAACAATTTTTGTCAAATAGTGAGTCTTTACTCCAGTAGGTAGGATATTTGGATTTATAATACACTATGCTAT